GTATCCAATTGTAAATTGCCCTCTGCATTTCACTTTAAAATTCCCAGAACTCCTTCTTCCTACCTCCCTCCAGGAGAGAACATGTGCAAAGATACATATTATACAAGATAGACAAAATGCTGATACAATGCAAAATCGAGATACTCTTTCTTTGTATGCAACTTTTTTCATTAACAATATTTGAAAAAAATATAATTCAATATCAGGGGAGTAACAGCAACCAGATACACACTATTGTTCTGATGTATCAGAATCTTAAGATATTCAGCAGTCAACACAATTAGATTCAGATTCCTAGTAGGAAGAAAGTAAGGTGCATTGTTTTTAGCATGATTGAAAGACCAGTAGAGGTGTAATCATTACTTTAAAATTCATAATACCAGATTATTGCCTACAGGCAGTTACTAGGAAACAGTGCACAGTGTAGGGTGGTAAAACCCCAGAGTTTAGCAGTGTTACTGACACCAGAAATCAGGTTCTTTGGAGGCTGTGGCAGTGAGAATTTGCAAAGCAGAGTATAAGAGAAGATTGAGCTGTGCAGAGAAAGCTCCAGCTCTCTGCAGCGGCTTCCCCTAGAATCTGTAGTTGAGTATTGACTGGTACATGCACATACCAAGGCAGAAACTACCCAAGACTAGGAAAAGGAGTAGATCGAACAATCCCTTGAATTCATAAAGAGCTGGAAATAGTTTGTGTTTTCAGCAGCCCATATTGAGCAAAAACTCTCAATTTATACTACATGGATTGGTGGACATAAGAATTTTACCCTTGAACTGGTTTTAGATTAAAGCATGTGTTAGACCTGTTCTGAGAACATTTAGAAGCAAGACTTAAAAGAATGAGCTGGTTCCAAATAACTTAACTATACCTCATAAGAAAACACAATACTATATAAATTCCTAAGCAAAATCCAGTAGTCATTGATAAAATATTCACTGCTAGAAAGGAGAGAAGAAAAAAGTAACAAACTTGAGAAGAAGAAGAAGAAATATAACCTTTAATATAGATGAAAATCAATCAAAGGAAATAAAACCAGAAGTGAGATGTTAGAATTAGCAGATAAGGACATTGAAATATTATATTTTATATTCTGTTATGTTCAAAGAACATATAAAAAGTGTGAGTATGATCATAACAGAAATAAGATAAAGACTATGACCCTATTACATTTCTAGGTAGATTGGAAATTGTGGAAATTTAAATTGTACAAAATGAAGCATAAAGTTTTTTTTTAAAGCTAGAATAAATGAATGGAGCATCAATAACATGTAGGGTAATAGAAAATGGCCAAATAAAGGTGTAATTGGGGACCAAGAAGAAGAGAATGTGTGGAGCCAGGATGAACTTAAAAAGAAAACAAGATAATAACTGAAAATTTCCCACATTTGCTGGAAGATGTAAACCCACAGGTTTTAGAAGTTTAGTAAAACTGAAGCAGAAGACACATAATGTCCCAAATTACTGAAGAATAATGAGACAGCCAGGTGCTGGTGGCTCACACCTGTAATCCTAGCTACTCAGGAGGCTGAGATGTGAGGATTGCAATTCAAAGCCAGCGTGGGCTGGAAGGTCCATAAGACTCTTATCTCTAATAAACTACTCAGAAAAAGCCAGAAATGGCTCTCTGCCTCAAGTGGTAGAGTGCCAGCCTTCAGCACAGAGTCTCAGGGACAGCATCCAGGCTTTGAACTCAAGCTTCGGGACCAGCAAGAAAAGAAAAAGACATGTAAGAGTATAACAGCTGACCTATGCAAACCAAAAAAGAACCGAGATGTACCTTTGAAGCAGTGAAAGAAAAAAACTCATCAGCTGTCAACCTAGAATTGGTGATTTAGTGAGACAATCAAAAGTTAGGATATAACAAAAGCTTTTCAGAAAAGCAAGAACCAAAAGCTGAAATTATTGCCATCAAACCTTCACTATTAAGTAATGTTAATGGCAGTCTCAGAAAGAAAATGGTATTAAATAGGAACTTAAATCAAAAGGAATGAGGAGTGCCAGAAGTGGTAAATCTGTGGATAAAGTTTTAACAGATTCACATTTTTAGAACAAAAATGTTACTGGAAAAACATGAGTAAACTATGTAGATTAACTGAAATGTTTGATCATTAATTTCTGAATCGGAGCAATTGAACAAAAGACAAGAAATCCCCCTATTATGTATTATAACATTTCTGTAAATCTTTTTCTTTTCTTTCTTTCTTTCTTTTTTTTTTTTTTTTTGTCGGTCATAGGGCTTGAACTCTGGGCCTAAGCACTGTCCCTCAGCTCTTCAGCTCAAGTCTAGCACTCTGCCACTTGAGCCACAGCACCATTTCTGGATTTCTAGTGACTTATGGGAGATAAGAACTTCACAGCCTTTCCTGCCCGAGCTAGCTTTGAACCACATTCCTCAGATCTCAGCCTCTTGAGTAGCTAAGATTACAGGCGTGAGCCACTGGCACCTGGCTACATTTCTGTAAATGTAAACATCATAAATTAAAAGTTAATAGATTACTTAAAATATCAGTAATCAGAATATTTTCTGGGCTTATAGCATTTCTTAAGCAAAAACATATGATGACCATAGCACAGATGACATTAAAGGGAAATGCATTTATTTTATAGTTTTTATACCAGATGTGAACTTGTACAATACTAATTTAAAATAGATTTGATAAGTATATATGTTGCAGATCCTGAAGCAGTCACAAAAAAAAAAGAAGAAGGCCACATACTGGTGGCTCACACTTATAATCCTAGTTCTCAGTAGGCTGAGATTTGAAGATTGTGGCTCAAAGCCAGCCCAGGCAGGAAAATCTAAGAGACTCCTAATTGACTATGAGAAAACCAAAAGTGGAGTTGTGGCTCAAAGTAGTAGAGCACTAATGTTGAGCAAAAAAGCTCAGGACAGTGCCCAGGCCCTGATTTCAAGCCCCACGACTAACAATAAATAAATAAAAATTCGGAGAAAAAAAAACATTAAAAAAAAATCTAGGACAGATAGCTAATAATACGATAGTGGAAGTAAATTGAAACAATGGGAGGTATTTTTTGATTAATGCAAAAAGTAAAGAGCAGATGAGACAAATTAAAAATTATAGCATGATCTTAAATCCAATTATAACAATAACTACATTAAATGTAAATGAACTAAAATCCCAATTAAAATAGATTAGCACACTGCATAAACATAACAGAATGAATAGTTAATATATTTTGACATGGATATATTCCAAAAGCAGCAGAGACATTCATCATATTTATTATTTGATAACACATGAAATTCCAGAGCAGTTGTTACCAGATCCACTGGCAGAGGAAGGAAATCAACTTGAAAAGATAAGAAGAAACATCTTGGTGGTGATTTAAAAGAAAGTTCTATATTATGATTGTGTAGGTGGCTCCAACACTGTACGTTTGTTATAACTCATCTCTTTTGTGTGAATTTTATTATTTGTTGGCTATCTTCAAAACAGGTTATTTTTTTTTATTGTAAAGATACTATACGGAGGGTTACAGTTACATGAGTAAGGTAGTGAGTACACTTCCTATTGAGCATTGTTACCCCCTCCATTGTTTTCCCCCTACTATCCCTTCCCTCCCTACCTTCCCCAAGGTTCTTTTTTTTTTTAATTATGATTAAGTGATTACATAATTTCCCAAATTTCACAGTATTGTGGAATAATGAAGCTTATTTAAAGTCACAAGTTCATTCTAACTTTCCTGGAGCAAATTGTCTATCATGGTCTATAACATATAACGGTGTACACATATACACCATACATGTGATCAGAAGCATGAGGATATTTAGTAGTGGTTCGACCAGATGAGTGGAAGTTCTTTGTTTCTTAAGTCCTGTTAATTTTGTCTTATCACTTAACATTTTGGATTTAACATCCACTTTTCAGGGAGACCATGTACTGTTTGTCTCTTTGCTCTTGGCTTACCTCGCTCAACATGATTCCTTCTAGCTCCATCCATTTCCCTGAAAATGCCATTATTTTGTCATTTCTAATGGCTGCATA